GGTTTAGGGTTTAGGGTTGGGGACTTAAGGCTGCTTCCGAAGAGCGATCCTGCATGATGAGATTTGGGTTTGGGGCCCGACAGCTGAGGCATACAAAGCACGCAAGGCAAATCGGTTCGAACATGGCGAAACGGATACCTACACGGGGCAGCAACTGAGAATACGACCAGTTCGTTTGCGACCGTAAAGAGGAGGGTGTTGTTGAACTGGCTGAATTCCTTGACAACCTGCTTGGCAAAACCTGAGCATCTCATCGACACCAGCCTGCAGCAGGCTTTCCATTCCACCTAGCTGACAGACATGCAGACGAGGCACTCAGCGCATTAACACCCACGTTCCCGTAACCTTCGATCTCCTGCAGGGAGGGAGAGGCCGCCTTTCTGCTGCGAGGGACGCAAAACTTAGATTCGGGGCACAAAACACATAAAACGCGCCTAGAACTTGACATCAGAAAAGCCATCAATAGAACCCGATGACACACATTGCAAGAGCCTGCGAGTCTCTAATATAGTCGAACACAGTCGCCCTGTCACTCCACTACTTGAAAGACAATAAACAGGCAACTCCACCAAAACGACGAAACAATGATAACCAGCGATGACGATGGCTATATGTAGTCAGAAAGTTCGGACAACAGCATGATTGCTGCCGCAGTGTGGCACTACCAACAGCAGCAGAAGCAGCAGCAGCAGCACGAATGCAAGAGAGATCTCCTGCGTGTAGCAGTCCGGGGCCGGGAAAGCCGGGAGGAAGCCCCAGTCTTTGCCGTTCAGGGGAACGATGACCTGGTAAATTAGCTGATATATCATAGGCACATAATGTGCAATGAAATCTAACGGACCTAATATAGAAAAAAACGCATGGGTTCATTTGAGTTCAGAAGGCAAGCTTGAAAAAGACTCAACCTTGTCGAACGGATGCTGCTTCAGGATTTTATTTCGTAGATCTTTGGCCTAGGACCTAGGGGCTTGGAACAAGCTCATGAAGATCTCGCAATGCTCCCACTACCACTACCACTACCACACCACCACCACCACCACCATCACCACCACCACCACCCACCAGTACCACTATCACTACCACTATCACTACACTTACCACCACCACTACCACCACCATTGCCAGCACCAATAGCGCCACTGCTCCTCCTCCTACTACTGCTTCTACCACTAATACCACTACTACTACTACTACTACTACTACTACTACTACTACTACTACTACTACGACTACGACTACGAGTACGACTGCTGCTACTACTACTACTACTACTACTACTACCAGTACTACTAGTACTACTAGTACTACTAGTCCTACGAGTACAACTAGCACTACTAGTAGTAGTGCTACTAGCACTACTACTAGTACTACTAGTACTGATACTACTAGCACTAGCACTACTACTAGTACTACTAGTACTAGTACTAGTACTAGTACTACTACTAGTACTACTACTAGTACTACTACTAGTACTAGTACTACTACTATTACTACTACTACTACTACTACTACTACTA